AAGTAGGGTTTGGTATCGGAAGGGAGAGGGAGAGATTGGAAAGCCAACAGACTGAAGTCAGAATTTCAACCAGGATGGCAAGAGATCTAGAAACCACCATGCCAAAAAAGAATCAGGGGAAAGAGATGGATGAGCAGAAATTTGGGGGAGGAGGAATGTCTGAGAGGACAGCTAAGCTATTTTTAATTACTTAAAAAGCTGTCACTGTTATACCGAGAAATGAGCGAGTTGACCACCCAAGCTAATTTTAAATTGTGGACTTCATTAGCGCGCGGCTGCCAGGGATATTCACATCCAAATCAAGCAGCCCCCATCAGGGGTTGAGCTAGGGTTTATATAGGGAGTATACAGGACAGGGAGGGGGATGGATCTTTGAAGTCTGGCTGGTCAAGGACACCCTTCTCCCTCTGTGTAGATATGATAATGCTCTGCAAACTTTCCTGAGCAGCCAGATAAGGGTCTTGCTAAGGAATTTGGAGTTTTCCAGAGATATGATCTGAGGGCTAGGACCTGAGCAGCCAGATAAGGATCTTGCTGAGGCCCATGCATGAATACTGCTAGGCACAGCGTCCTTGGGCTGGGGAGTGGTTGTTAGAGATAGTGTTTCTGAGACTAGGGAGGCATTTTGGGGCAAAAGTATAAGCACAAGCACCCAAGCACCCTATCATTACAGGTCAGGGATCACACAAACCAGACCAGGTGTCCTGGTTTCTGGTATAAACATAATTATCTAAAGCCATTGTATTGCAAGTTTTCTTATCCATTTGCTTTGGAGGTATGGGCTGTGCTTAAGCCATGCAGGAGTACATTTTACTATTGTTTAGATTTAGGAGGAAAGAGGTCTGGGGCAAGATTAAGCAGCAACTTCTGCTTTCCATTGCCTAAAGGGCCCTACTACCTAAATGGTAAAATAATGTTCTGCATTACATCACCTGGATGAGGATTTACCCTTGCTCTGTTTTTCCCTACCTATGTGACCTTCAGCAAAATACTTCCCCTTTCAAAGACTCAGTTTCCTGGTTGGTGTCTCTAAAGCTATGCTCTTCTTTTTTTAATTTTTTTTCCTTTTTTTTTGGCTAGGCAATGGGGTTAAGTGACTTGCCCAGGGTCACAAAGCTAGTAAGTGTTATGTGTCTAAGGTCAGATTTGAACTCAGGTCCTCCTGAATTCAGGGCTGGTGCTCTATCCACTGCACCACCTAGCTGACCCAAGCTATACTCTTTTGAAGGCTGGAAAGTAAGCAATACGTTTTCCAAAGATTTTCATCTAGGATGCCGCTTGTTGGGGATGGTTTTTTGTGGTTGCTGTTGTTGTTTTTTTGGTGATGTTGGTGAGAGACTTTTTAAGGTACCAAATGAGCTTTTTTTAGGAAAAGGACAGCCTCCGCGGCTACCTTCAACTTTGAAATTTTGTGGTTCTGATTAGGAAGTTTGGGATGGAGTTTTGATATCTAAAGGAGTAAGTTTCCCTGTCCACTAATTCTTGATGAAGAAGTCATTATTATAGCAAGCTTTTTTGGAAAATCCTGCTAAAGATGTCAAGTAACACTTTCAATAATGACAGCCTTAAACACGTACAATCTTCCAGTATTACATTATGGATACCTATTTATTTTCAGAAACCAGTCAGGAAACCCAGAAAATAAGAAATGCATGCCTATTACTCCAAAGACATTCGCCTGAGTCTGCTCTCCCCAGGTACATCTGTACCCTTGTTCCATTGACTGCATTGGTCTTCCGTTAGTTCAAATCGGATCTTGCTGGAGATTACCAGTAAGGAAACATCTGGATCCTCTAAGATCTAGGCTGGCACTTGAGAAAAATAGTTGTTTCCTGGTTTCAGATAGTCATTCTGATGTTCAGGAGAATCAGGAAATGCTCAGAGCTCTGACTCCTGGGGGAAAAGAATGAGCATCCAATGATCAGCACCTTTTGTGATGCTGCCAACACATTTTTTTCTGGGCTGTGTTTATACCACTTGGCTACACTGTAGAAAGTACTCACAGACCCATGTGTGCAGGGTGTGGGGGGAAAGAGCTAAAACCGTTCTGATGGGAGCTGCCCTCATAATAGCATATCGGCAGACATTCTCAACAATCCCATGAGACCATAGCTGAATCCTAGCCCCAGAGCAAGTTCATGACCCGTTTGATTACGTTCAGAACCTACCCCAACAAGTAACTGCCACGGGGAGAGGATTCACACAGCGTTCTTCTCCGACAAACAGGCTGCAAGCTGCTTTGAATTCTCTATAGAAAGCAAGCCTTTTGCTTCACCTTCTATTAGGGAAATTTCCAGATTAATAGCGTTATGCTTCCAGTAGGGCTAAATTCCGGTACCAAACTGTTAAAAAAAAAAACTATTCCTTTCCTTGGTGACTGTGCTACCATGATGAAGAACAGCTTTTCTTTAGGGTATGTACAAATAAGGAGGGAAGGCATGAAAATTATGTCATTCAATATTCTGTTTTTCAGACTCTGAATCTGCTTTGAGCTAAAGGCATTTTTGTACCCTTCTCGTAACACTCCATCCCTCACTCTTTATCTTCCCTGCAGTTATCTCATCAGGAACAACAGTGATGAGCTGGAGAGTGCCTAAAGGAGGAAAGACCAGAATGATGAAGTGCCTAAAGATTATGGCATATGACGATCAAAGGAACTGAGGGTGTAGAGCCTGGAGAGAAGATTTGGGTGAAGGGAGAGCTCAAGTCAACAAGCATTAACTGTATTGTCAATAAGCATTCATTAAGCTCCTATTAAGTGCCAGGCTCTGTGCTAAGTGCTGAGGATACAAAGAAAGGCAAAAAACAGTTCCTGCCCTCAAGGAGCTCACCATCTAATGGAGGAGACAATGTGCAAACAATTATAGGCATATAAGATGCATAAGGATAAAGCGGAGATAATGTCAGAGAAAAGGCACTACCATTAAAGGAGATGGGGAAAGGCTTCCTTTCAAGTATTTAAAGGGTTGTCGAGTGAAAGGAGAATTAAATCGTTCTGCTTGGCCCAGATAGCAGAAATAGAAGTAAAGTTAGGAAGTTGCAGATTCAGCTTGATGCAAAGAAAATTTTCCTAACACTTCAGAGCTATTCCAAAACGGAATGGGCTGCCTTCAGAGGTAGCAGTTTCACCACCATCACCACCACCACCTCTGATGGTGTTCAAGCAAAGGGTGGATGACCTCTTAACTAGGTATATTTTGATGGGTAAGTTGAGGTAAGTGTTGAACTAGATCAACGTTGGGTTCTTAACCCTTTCTGTGACATGGAGCCTTTTGGCAATCCAGTGACACCTCTGGACCCCTTCTTAGAATCATATTTTTTCTTTTAAACATTCATCATTGAAAGAAATGCAAAATTTCAGCTACAGGTTAGTAAAAATGAATATGTAATTTTTATCCCATCCAATTTTATCAACAATCTACCCCACCCTCCTATTCCTTAAATCCAACCCCAGGTTAAGAATCCCTGCACTAGAGAGATTCTGAGAGCCTTCCCCACTCTAAGATCCTATCATATAGAACAATAAATAGTCATTTCCTTGGATTTGTCTTTCTGTTCTTCCATTTTTATCTCTTCACATTTCACCTATTCAATCATTCAACCAGACCTAAAACCCACCTGTATTTCATCTCTTGCCAACTGGATCTGCTCAGTTGCTTTGGCAGAGGACCCTCTAGGTCCTCAAGTGCAGCTGCAGGTTCCCCACCCCTTGCCTAAGCAAAGAAGGGGAAGCATTGATCAGATACACTAAAGAATTCAGGAGAAGTCTGGTACCCTGTGAGTAGCATCTATGATGACTCTTGACTATGAAAGGATGGAAAAGAAAGGGGTTTTATTTGGAGTGCTTTGGTGTATTGGTTTAATTAGAAATATTTTATGCTAAAGCTCTAGGGTTTTAAATGACTTTCTCTTTCCAAGTGCTTCTCTAAGCTACCTGTTGATCATTTTCCTATGGGGTAGACACAAATATCACTTGAAAAATTTGAGTGACCTGTTGAGATATTTGAGCCAGTTGAATTGGTAACTAAAATATTTTAGCAATTCAGGAGTATGCATAGAGGTTCATGAGGAATTAAGGAATTTCAGATGGGATCAGTTTGAAGGCATAGGTCTTACAGGAAGACACAAATGGAATTCTTGCACTTTGGCAATAATGAAAGGGCTTGGGGAAGTATTCACCATAACTGGGTCCCAATACATATAGTAATATGACCCACTATAGGCCTGAAATTCATCATAACATAGACCCAGTGCTAGTTCTAGCCAAGGGACATAGGTATGACTGGAGGAGTGTCTTGGTGCCCTGACTGCCTAAATATAGACCTTCCTTGACATTTTCACCACTGAAGTTGCTTGTCTTCAGAAAGTTACTGTTAAAATACATATTCCTAACATACATTAACACCTATGAACACATGACCATGGATTAATGAATCAGATTTATCACCTATAACCTTGAAATATAGATTTCCAGAGCCCCTATGGGATGAGGCACAATTTTGAAGGAGTCAGGAATAGAACAGAGAATAAGGAGATAGTCCTCAGTGTAAGGGGTGGGTGGGGAGGGTACCAGAAAAAGAAGCCTGAATGGGTCCATTTGGGGCCCCACTAAAGATTTATAGTTCCGAGAAGGACAGGGAAAACTACCTACAATAAGTACTCATTGCAGGAACCCCAAGGATAGTTCTGTAACAAAGCTTCAGTGTATTCTTTCACAGTTTTATGTGGCATCTCACAGTAAGGCAATTCACCTAAACCCGAACTAAAACAAGATTTAATCCCTCCTCCCTGTTACCTTTCAAGTCAGTACAATACCCCTCCTAGGCTCATTTCCCTAAACCAGACTAACACTAGAAGGTTGGGTCCCCAGATGAGTACTTGCTGCTACTCTCCAGGTTCTAGCAGGTAACCTTGTGGGTAGCTATCCTCTACACATTATAGTTCCTAAGCCCCCACTAGTATGTTTCCTCTTAACAATCAGCCAGTAGACAGTTCTTGGCAAAAGCTTTTACTCAAACAGCATAGCAAGGATAGTAGTTGCAAAGTATTCCCTCCAAAAATCTATGGCATACTCTCCCACCAATATTCACAGAGTCCATGAGAGGAAGAGTGACATGAACTTAAAGCATGACGGTAGTGAAGCACACATAGAGGGAACGCACGCGGCCAAGGCAATTTACCACTCTGGAAATGCAGGACTTCCTTTCTACTGAAGGTAGGTCCTCATGAAGTACAACGGGGAGGGATGGCACTGAGGAGGAACAAGTCATTCCCTTGCTCAGCTGGGTTGGCTCTTCACAGAGTGATGTCAGAGCCAGATGGACCAATCAGCTGCCGGGCTGGGTCAAGCAGCTTGTAGAGTGGATTCTGAGATAGTTCCTTCCACCTTTCCTATTGGAGAGAGGAAGGGTCTGGTGAAGATGAGTGGCTAACAGATAATGCAAGTCTGTGTCCTTGAGGCAAGTTCCTTGTCTCTCTGGCTTCTCCTGGTACAATTGTGCTTCCATCCCTTTCTAATGGGTAGGATGTTCCCTTTGCATCTGAAGGCCTTTTCTTTTCCATGTCTATGTTTGGTTTAGCCCCTTTGACCATGAATACGAACATTGTTTTTGTCTTTGTTGTCTCTTATTTGAAACTGTTTGAACGTTCTTTCTCTCTTCTCTTCTCTCTCCCCCCTCCCCAACACCCTTTTGGCTCAGTCAAACCAGTCTGACCCATTATTATTTTATTTTGGAATAATTTTGGTCATTTGACCCAAACTGAAAATGAATGAAAAATAAATTCAACTGCCAGGATTGAAGAATTAGGATTTAGGGCTGGAAGAAGACTCTTTGGAAATCATCTTGTGCAGCTGGGTGGGCTGGAGTCAGAGAAACTCATCTTTCTGAGTTCAAATCTGGCCTAGAACATTTACTAGCTGTGCCACCCTGGGCAAATCAGTTAATCCTGTTTACCTCAGTTTCCTCATCTGTAAAAATGAGCTGGAGAAAGAAATGGAAAAACACTCCAGTATCTGTGCTAAGAAAACCCCAAACAGTGTCACCAAGAGATACGATCTGGTTTTTTTTTTTTGGCTAGGCAATCGGGGTTAAGTGACTTGCCCAGGGTCACACAGCTAGCAAGTGTTGTATGTTTTTTTGCGTATGTCTGAGACTGGATTTGAACTCAGATCCTCCTGACTCTAAGGCCGGAGCTCTATCCACTAAGGCATCTAGCTGCCCCCCAAAAAACGTGAAAAAAAACTTCAGATTTTAACAGCTGCCCAGAGAGGGAGTCTGGTACAGTGGGAAGAGCACCGGCATTCAGAGAACCTGAGTTCATATCCTACCACTTTCTGTGATGCTTATTATACACGTGGCCTCCAGCAAATCACTCAATCTCCCTGGACCTCTCTGTAAAGTGAGGAGGTGGTCTCTAGGTCTCTTCCTGCTCTAGAGCTATGTATGATCCTATGATGTGTCTGATGTCCCACAAACTTCGAAGGGTGGAGGGGGCATTTCCCAAACCAAATCTAACTCCAAATCTAGTTCCATTTATTTAGCCTAGAAAGTTCTCCCACAAATTGCTGGCTGGCGTCTTAATAAACTTGCAAGCATTAGATTTCTGCTGTGAAATCCTAAAGGAGATTAGATATTGAGATTTAGAGGGATGAGGGTTTGGCTAATGACTGAAATAACTTCTTAGGTCACACTGACCAGGGTCAACAACCCGGCGAAAATGGGATGTAAATAGAAAAGGAAATCAATCCTAAGTCATCCCGAATCAACAGCTGTCACTCCCCATTATGCTGTTTTCCCTTATTTGGACTTCAGGGCCAAATTGGAGACTTGTGCCCCGCCCTGCCTTCACAGGCAGAGAAGCTGTGCCACGTCTCAGGTCTCCTGTCTTCACTTCTGTTATGTGGTTGACTCATATTTCATCCCCCCCCTTCTTTTTATTATTGCTGCTGGGCATTATGAGAAGAATTTCTTTGAAGCCCCTATTAATGATCTTCTCCCGGAATTGAATAAAGAATGTCTTTTAAAAAAAAAAAAGTTTGAGGACAGACTGCGGCTGCCTCTGTCCAAGATTTGCTGAGCGTGTCTTCGCTAGCCCAGCCGTTCGATGTCTGGGCTCCCGAAAGAAGGGGAGAGGGGCCCAGCCCTGGAGCAGCTTTGGCTGCGGGTTCCGAGGCTGGTCTCCCGGCCTATGCCCCCACCGGCATCGCGGGGCCCCGGGGGGGAGCTGCCCTAAGGTCTGCTCCTCTGGCTGGGCAGCGGACTCCGGGCTCCGCGTCCCGCAGGAAAGCTCTGCCCAGCATCCTAATTCATTCAGCCGGACGTGCTCGGCATGAACTTGAAGGAGATGAAGGCGCGCTGGGTGCACGCAACCAGCCGGGCAGCGGGCCAAGCCCGGGGTGCGGCCGGGGGAGAGGGAGGAAGAGGAAGGTGGGGTGCTGGGGCAGCGGGAAGGGCGCACGTGCCAGGCGGGCTCCTGCAGCCCCGCCACGCCGACTCCTCCTCCTCCTCCTCCCTCCTCCTTCTCCTTTTCCCTCCTCCTCCTTTCTCCCTTCCTCCTCCTTCTCTGTCTCCTCCTCCCCCTCCCCTTCTTCCCTCCTCCTCCTCTTCCTTCCTCCTCCTCTTCCTTCTACTCCTCTTTCCTCCTCCTCCTTCTCCTCCTCTTCCCCTCCTCCCCTTTAAGAGCCCAGGCGCAGTCGGATTTGTGTCGGCAGAGGCGCGCCTTTAAGGAGGTCTGACAGCTGCGGCCGCCGCTGCCGGGAGGCCCGCGGGAGGGGGGTGGGGGGACAGCCTGCCTGGGAGGCGCGCGGCCTGCCTGGGAGGCGCGCGGGGGCGCGCGGGGGCGGGCCGGGCGGCGGCGGAGGGGGCGGGGAGCCCGGGCCGCCAGCGCTGGCTCGGGGTCCGCCTCTGACTGCGGCGGCGGCAGCGGCTCGCGGGGCTCGGCTCGGCTGGCTCGGCTCGCACGGCGGGGCGATGTGTGAGTGCCATGGCGAGGAGTCTCTGTGCGGGGGCCTGGCTCAGGAAACCCTACTACCTCCAGGTAGGCCAGCCTCCGCCGCGGCCGCCCCCCCCATCCCTCGGCCGCTGCCCCCTCCCCGGCCCCGCCCGCCCGTCTGTCTGTCTGTATGTCTGTCACCCGCTGGGCTGGGGGCTGGAACAGCACACCCCCGCTTCCCCCTCCTCTCTCGTGTGCCCCCCTGCCCAGTGTGCCCCTTCTGCCCCGGGACCCCCTCCTATCCCTTGTCTCCCCTCCTGACCCATGTCCCCCTCCGCCTCGTGTCCCCCTCCTTCCCCGTGTCCCCCTCTAGTCCCGGGACCCCCTCTTTCCCCATGTCCCCCCTCGTACCCCGTGTCCCCCTCCAGCCCCGGGGACCCCCTGCTGCCCCACATCCCCCCTCCTGCCTCATGTCCCCTTCTGCCCCACGTCCCCCTCCTGCCTTGTGTCCCCCTCCTGCCCCGTGTCCCCCTCCTGCCCTGGGGACCCCCTCCTGCCCCACGTCCCCCCTCCTGCCCCACGTCCCCCCTCCTGCCTCGTGTCCCCTTCCAGCCCCGGGGACCCCCTTCTGCCCCAGACGTGTTCCCCCTCCTGCCCCGCATCCTCCCTCCTGCCCCGCATTCTCCCTCTTGCCTCAGACGTGTCCCCCTCCTGCCCCTTGTCCACCCTCCTGCTCCGTGTCCCCTCCTGCCCCGTGTCTCCCTTCCCTCTCCCAACTTGTCTCCCTTTCCTGACCCACATCTCTCGCTCCTGCCCCGCGTCTCCCCCTCTTCCCACATTGTCTTACCTGCTCCTACCCCGTGCCTCCCCTCCTGTCTTCCGCATCTCTTCCTCCTGTTCTTCGGTCTCCCCCTCGTCCCCCCAACCGGGTCAGCTCCACTTCCTCCCAGGGAGCAGGAGTGGACACCTTCAGGAGGGGCGCTAAGGTGTTTCGATGTTTCTCTCCCTTGTGGGTGATGGCCGCGCCTGGAGCCCTATGCCCCCCAACGCCGTCCCTCCCCACCCCGTCCCACCCTATCTCCTCAGGGCTCCTCTCTCCTGGCGGGCGTTGTAGTTCAGTTTTGCCGGGTTGGACCCATGCCCTCACCTCCCCACTCGATGCATTACCTGCCGGCCTTGGCTCGCTTTTCTCCCTCTCTTCCTTCCCTTGGAGACTGATCTCCCGACTCAAGCCTGGGAGGGCTTCACATCCTTTACTGGCTCATTTCACTGTACGATAATCAACCAGTGTTCATTAGGTGCCTGCCTAGACACAAGGCAGACAATCCCTGCCCCCTGGGAGCTGCCAGTCCACAGAAGGAGCGAGCAGGCAATGCCAGAGTGTGGCATTCTACCACATCTAAAACCCAAACTGTCCCGAGTGCATCAACCTGGCCGTAGCTAGTTTTAGCTCCTATTTAGGGCCGTAAAATTGGAGAGTTGGGAGGGAACCCCAAGGCATCTGGACCAAACCCCACCCAATTCTCTTTCAGTTATATACATTTTCAGAGGAAATGATTGCAGGGAACTGCCAGCCAGTTGTGTGTAGGTTTTCAAGATGTGTACTTAGTGGCTCCCTGAGGGGAAAACCTGATGTACTGATCCAAAAAAAGATGTACACTCCTCTAGCACCACAAGTTCAATTGATTTTAAGACCTGGAGTGAGTGTGCAGCCTTCTGTCATGGATTACTGTGCTTTTTTTTGCTCTGTTTCATGACATGAGGATTCCTTGTGTGTGCTGTTGGTTCCAAGGAACAACTGCCAGGATGTGATCCAAAATCCATCACCACTAGCAGAAAAACAAATGTGATTCAATACTTTTTACTGGGCCAGATGGGTCATCTACGTATACAAGGACAGCCCTTTGAACATATGGAATTAAAGATGTTAAAAGCTCAGAACCCTTAATTGGTGTGCTGTACAGGGTGACCTGAGCATCTGAGTACAGTTAAGGCTTTTGAGACACCCTTGTATGTAAATACAGTTAGAGGGGGATGGTGCAGTGGTGGTTGGGTAAGTGGTCTTATAGTGATTTGAAAAAGAACCCAACAGTAGACATTGAAAGAGAACAAGAGTTGTGGACCTCTCTGGTGAACTTAAAATGTATTATTTTGTATTGTAATTACTTGTGTTTCTGCCTTTTTTCTTTGCTGTGCCTGTTCCTCAATAACTGGCAAGTCAAATGAACAGTCATCTATTAAGTGCTTACAATGTACCAGGTCTAGTACTTATATTTGAATATTTGCTTAGTTGCGATTAGATTTAAATGCTTATTTTAAGATGGTATCTGTAGAGCATGAAACGATACGTGTAGATTTGTGGTCTCAGCCCTGTGGATACTCCCTCAAAGGTGCCAATCTCGACTCAGGTAGGCAATCCAGGCCTCTCTCCTACTCCTGTAAAAGTCCGGGTCCAGCTCATTCGATGACCATGTTAACACTATTAGCTCAAAATGTAGGCACTGATGGACATAGGGCTGCGGACCTAGCTCTGCCCCTCTCATAGTCCGGACCAGAGGCTTTCTTCCTTCCAGTGTGGATAGACCATTGGTTTGAACTGTTTTGAGTAATGATGTATCTCTTTTAGGGAGCTCTGCAGTGCTCTGGGACTTAATGCAGCCAGCACCAGTATTAAGTGGTATCACTGCTATCCCATGAACTGGAAGAATGCATTCTCTTGCAATCCCCAAAATCAATCAGCAAACATTTGTTAGGTTTCTATATGCCAGACCTTATAGTAGGAGCTGTGGCTCCAAAAATAAAGTTGAAATAATTGCTAGTCTTGGGGAACTTACTTTCTATAAATGCATCTCCCTCCATGCGTTTGCACTGGCCATGTCCCATGCCTGAAATGTGTAACCTCTAACTCTAGACTTCCCTGGCTTCCTTCAAGGCTCAGCCAAATCTGACCTAATAGAGACCTTTCCTGGTCCCCCTTAGCTTCTAAGTGCATTCCTCCTAAGATTACCTCCCACCTAGTCCATATAGATCTTGTATTTACCTTCACATGTCTCCCCCGTTAGAATGTGAGCTCCTTGAGGGCAGGGACCGTATTTGGGGGTATCGGCTCCCTGCTAACTGTTTGTTCTTTCATTACCAGTGCAAAGGACCCTCTCCTTTGTGGAAAGTACAGATTGAGCAGCTCTGCCTTCTCTCTGGTGTCAGTTATCCGTCCTATCCACCTCAAGCAGAAGTCTCATCCCTTCTTCTCTCAGCATAACTTAAAAAATCTCTTTTGTCATTCTTTAGCTTCCTCTGAAAGTCTCAATTCATTCTGAGCTTTAGCATTCCTGACACTTTTTTTTTTGGTTTTGGCTAGGCAGTGGGGTTAAGTGACTTGCCCAGGGTCACACAACTAGTATTATGTGTCTGAGGTCACATTTGCACTCAGGTCCTCCTGAATCCAGGGCCGGTGCTCTATCCACTGCGCCACCTAGCTGCCACACTGACACCTTTTTTTTTTTTACAGGACCATACAAACTCTTATATTCATTCTGTTACCCAGCCTTGTTTCCATCTTCTATATGTTTATTATAAAATCTAAGTTGGGTGATGAGTTTCCTGCCCACCCACATTGATATCTTCTGACAAATCCTTTTCTTCTTCCTCATTGCAATTGTTTCCCTTTCTGTTTTTGGCATTTAATTCCTTCCTGGGCTGATTTCCCTCAAAGCATTTTATTCCAAGAGATCTGACCTATGATACTTTTGAAATTTGCCTTCTTAATATGCAGGGTGCATATCAGACTATGCTTGCATTTTCTCCTTTTTCACAGCCTCTAAGAGTAGAATGGATACTTCCCCACTCTGGGTTCCCATCATTTCTACTGTAGCAAGTGGTTCCTCTATTAGTGAGAATCAAATCTAGAATAGAAATCCTTGTTAGTTCTTTCACCTGAAAGAAAGGGTGTAGAGAAAGCAAAGAAGACAGCCCAGGGCAGATCCTTGAAAATACACTTTTAGGGGTGGGCTATGAATATATCCGATAGAGGAGACTAAGAAAAGTTGTCAAATAGGAGAAAAGTTTAATTTGAAATGGCATACAAAAGTTTGGATTTTATTGTGGGGGCAAATAAAAGCCACCTAAGCTTTTTTAATAGGGGAGTGACAAGGTCGGACTTTTGCTTTAGGATTATCCAGTGTGTGCTGGATGGATTAGGGTGGAGAGATGAGAATCAATGAGGGCCTGAACCTGGGGCTGACTAGGTAAGTGGAGACAAGGGGACAGAGAAGGGGACATGAAGGGAGAATCCAAAAGCCTTAGCAATTGGTTGGTTGGTGGGAAGAAGAAGGGGAAGGAGAGGGAAGAGTCAGAGATGGTTGAAGTTTCCTTCCTGGGTGACTTGGCACCCAGAATGGCAAAAACTCGCTACTAAATGACCACTGGGGATATTTTTCACCCACATTGTAGACTGAATCCTTTTCCTAGCTCCACTAGGAACACATTCCAGTAACCTAGTTCTCTAGCTGTGGAATGAGGACAATACTGGTTAGCTTTTATAGTGGCAATTAACACTAATGATAGGGATAAATGTTGAACATGTAAATTAATATTTAGGTTAGACCGAAGTTATCTCTTTGTGATTCTTTATCTGATCAACAAAACTTGTCAGAGTTTGTTCGAAAAATTTTACTGGGAGATTTCTTTTTCATAAAAGTTTCTAGTCACTTATATGTAACTTTCTATGCTTAGGCTAAAAATATTGAATAGAGACTTTTAAAATTATTGTAGTCATGGGGAATTATATATTTATATGTGACTTTCAAATATATCTGACTGGGTGTCTTATTTGTCGTTATGACACCTGGACTTTCATAAAAGTTTTTAAGATAAGATTGTAGTATCACAAATAGGTATGGTTGCTAAAGAACATTATGTCTTATGAGAAGAAGACCAAGACCATTTTTTAAAGTAAAAATATATTCTTTAAAAGTTGGCTTTGGGGGCAGCTGGGTGGCACAGTGGATAGAGCACCAGCCCTGGATTCAGGAGGACCTGAGTTCAAATGCGGCCTCAGACACATAACACTTATTAGCTGTATGACCCTGGGCAAGTCACTTAACCCCATTGCCTAGCCCAAAAAAAAAAAAGTTGGCTTTGATTGCAAAATAGTAATGATGTACACATGCAAAATGAAATAAATGCCAAATTTTCTTCACTAATTATTTTAGTTATAATAAGGATACTTACAATTATTATAAGTATTATAAGAATGTTTCACAAAATAGTATTGTAAAAGAAAATTTTAAGTAGATTATTAGTAACTTTCATATTTAATAATGCTTAAATATAACTTCATAGTAAAATTTAAATGTTATATTGGGCATCATTCTGAAAAACAAATTAACAACCCTACTCATAGACAGACTCCCAGGAAACTGGCTTTTAAAATATATTCATAGGTTGAATTCTTATTCCTGTGCTGAATTTGCTCTTGCTATTTACTCTCATCCCTCTGTTTCAATTCAGCTGATAAAAGAGGCCTTAGAATTACCCGGCTTTCATCTTTCCTCCGTTCCTTCGATGCCCAAGTTTTCCCACCATCTGCTTTTTCCACTTCCTCTCCCACCAGCTGCTTCAACTTTGAAATTGTGCGGACAAAGTCAAAATGAAATCACATTTTCAAGACAAAATATCATTCAACCTGTTCCCTTGCTACTGATAGAAAACTTATAAATATAGTAATTCATTTTGTTATTCTTTCTTGCTGTTTGCTGGTTAAAGTCAGAATAAAATCATGTTGCACCTTAAGCAAAAGCAGCATGTCAGAACTAGAGACCTGGGTTCTATTCTTATCTGTACCACTCCTTTATTAAGACTGGGAGCCATCCTTTAATACCTTTTCGTAACTTAGTTTCTACATTATAAAATTGGGAAAATAGTATTTATGCTACTGTCTTTGTCATTGGGCCATAATATGGGAACATTTAATGAAGCTATTTCTTTTTTTAAAATCTACATTGTGAATTCTTTTATCCATTTGGCACTTCAGCCAAAATATTCTTAGTGCAAAAATCTGTGAATATGAATGAAAAATACTGCATGTGTAAAATGCCTTGGGTTCCTTGGGGAATGGTCCATGTTAAAGGTTACTACTCTTCCTCCTCCTCCTCCTTCTCCTTCTCGTTCTCCTTCTCCTCTTCCTCCTCCTTCATTTTTTAACACAATAATGAAATTAGTGACATTAACAGACTTAAATATTCCAGATAGTTGCAGCTTTTCCCCTTTTATATGCCAGGCTGTTTGAATATGTTTAACTATAATTGATAGACTCCTTCTGAGATGTGTTGCATACTTCGGAGGATCCTGGATTTAGAGCTGGAAAGGGTTTTGGAGACCAGCTTATCCAATTTGTTCAGTTTTACAGATGAGGGAACTGAGGTATAAAGAGTTGAAATAATTTATCTAAGTGAACAGAGGTAGTAATTGGCAGAGTGGGATTTGATTCCAAATCTG